AACATCCTTAAAGAGAAAGTTACCATTAGAAACTGTGTCTAGCAATATTCTTATCTTTGGGAGGGCCCCCCTATAGAGAGTGGAGACGAGTGATGCTTGTGAAATCCTATGATGAGGGCACTGAAGTGTGTACCCTTTAAACCACTCTCATGCTTCACCAAAACTCTCATTGGACCATTGAGAAATACCAAAGATCTCAATCCTTAGTCTAGCTGTTCTAGAAATTGAGAATAACTTAGTTAGAAAGGCTGTCTTGCACTGCTCCCAACTGGTTATGCTTCCTTGTTGAAGATTATTCTCCCAAAGATGTGCTTTGTCTCCTAAGTTGAAGGGAAACAACCAGAGCTTCAAGCTGTCCTCACTAACCCTATTTATCTTTGTCATGTTACAAAGCCTGTCAAAGTTGTCCAATGGTCCAAGGGATCTTCCAGTGGGAAACCATGAAACTTATTGTTCTGCACCATATTAAGCACTAGCAAACATTAATCAAGCCTATTCTCCTAATCTACTACATCTAAGAACCTATAAAAGACTACTCACTCATCATCATGTAAACCATCAAATCCATTGAGAAAGAGATGTTAAACATGATTAGAAAGAAGGATTAAGAAAGATTAAGATTGCAAATACAAAAACTTAGATTAAAGGAAGGATCTTGTTCTTACAAAAACCAGAAAGCAATTAAGAGACAAAAGCAAGAACAACACTTGCTAATATTTTTAGGTTAAATTGTATTTATACTAAATGACGAAAGCCCTAACATATTGGCAAACTTGTAAATAAAAGTAGTTCGAATAAGGTGGATGTCGAGCTAGCTAGCTCGATGTGAGTGCATGACATTGCTCCCTCAAATGCTTCACATCGTGTTGACTTGCTCGATATCAATGCTCAATGTGTATCTCAGTTGCTCCTGCCCAAAGATGTTGTGCAATGTGGATGCACAACATGGGTGTCCTGTGGCTTGACATCGTGCTGTCTTGCTCGATGTGAACTCCTTTCCTCTTGGATGCATGATATCGTGCGATGTGGACTCCACCAATCTCGATGTTGGTCCAAAGTTGCACTTCCTTGGCTCCTCCTGAATATTCTTGACTGGGGAAACTCTCTGAATCGATCTCATGCTTCCTCCTTGTCTCCAACGGCTTCTTAGGATACCTAAAAACATTCCTTATGCAAAGAAAATGCAAACTACAACCCAAATGCAACCTAAGTGTAAAACCAAAGAAAAATGGGACAAAAGCAAAGGAAAACATGCAAGAGAATACCAAAACATGAACTAAATGAAAGCCTAAATGATGAAAATATGAGAGATATCACTGATTATCTTAGATATCGACAAATGTTTCACTTTAGTGCTTTACAAAGTCACTTTAAATTATCTTATATATTATTTGAGAAGCAGGTTTAATGAAAAATGTTGATGTGTTGTAAGGAGATGAAAAGTTACTGTAAATAAATGATGACCTGGAAATGTGATATGGAAATGTGACATTGCAAACTTCCTAAAATAAATAAAATATTTTGATTGGTTGAGTTAAAACTAAATAAATCTTATTTTCAAATAAAAAAAAGATTATATTAGAATTATTTACCTAGAATAACTTTACTAAATTGGATATTGACTAGATTAACACCCTTCCATAACTGAGTAACTAGAATAACTTTACAAAGTTATGGAAAGGCAACAAAATCCAAATTTTGGATATAATAACGAAATCTCATTTTGATAATAGAAAATAAAATAAAAATATATAAAATGATAAAAGAAAGAAAAAAGGAAAAAAAGAAAAACAAAACTGCAAAACCTACAGAAAAACAAAAAAATCGAGACAGCGAAATGATTAAGGGGTTTTAGCTCGATCTGAAGAAGGTTTCTCAATCTCCGGCGGCGCTAGGGGTGAGGGATCGGAATTCGTTAAGCAAGTGCTGGGGAGGTTCGATTACGGTGTAAAAGTAGTGGTTTTGTTGGTAGAGCAAAGGTAGCATTTTTTGGACCTGCGACTGCGGCTTCTCCTTAGCACCAACGGCTGCGCCTCCTTTCGAATAAGTGTTTTCAGCCTTGATTCAACTCGATTTGTAGATCTAGGGTTTTTCTGTAAGAGTAGCATTTCGAATTTGTAAAGTTTCGAATTGACGGGAACATTAGATTTCTTCATTATTTTCCATGAAGACGAGGACGAGGAAGTCAGAATCCGGTGAATAATGAGAAAGTAAACCACGAAAAGGTAATCGAATTTTAATTCTTCCGTTTTGAGTAAATTATCGGGGTGGTGCTATGGTAGATTTGTTGAAATTACTGTGTAATTTGATGGTAGACTTGATGATAAGGACTTCTGTTTTTCGTGGTAGACTTGTTTTGTTGATGGTAAACGTGTTGGTAGACTTAGTTTACTCCACACTTTAATCTATATTCCGGCGAATTGGGATCCATTTTAGGTTACAATTGAGGATTATCGGGATTTCACATGTCAGTTGTGTGGTCGAGTCCATCTTGTGGTGTATTGATGATAGATTTAATTTTTCTGTAGGTCTGTCAATAATGAGTTATGGTAGATATAATTGGTCTAGTGATGGTAGATTTTATTTTATTTTGTAGATCTGTCTTTAATCAGTTGTGGTAGATTTACTTGTGGTATATATACTTGGCTTATTGATGGTAGATTCATAATTTTCTGTACTTCTGACTTCTCTGCTTCTGCATCCTCTCTATGTTTCAGTGTAACATGGAAATAATATATGGACTTGACCAAATAAGCAACCTACTCGGTCCGATTCTACAGAGAGTGAGACGACTTTCTGCTAAGGACGCATGTCGTGCAGCTTGTGCGTAAAAAAAACTAAACGCAATATTAAAAGAATCATCTGTAGTGCAAGCACTAAACCTATCAGACTTCCTTACTGATACAACTTTGATCGATCGATATCCTCACTTCTTCAAGTTGGCTTTGTCATTCGACAATCCTCATGCGTTATACCTGCACGGGATGAGGACACTAGCTATTGCCCACGACCTTGAAAATTTACTTAGCTTTTTCAACAAAGTTTCTAAAGTTGGGATAGACCAAGCAACACTGATGGTAGCTATTTTTGTTACCGCTACCTTTTCGTTCAGTACCAACTGCTAAGAACTGAATTCTGATGTACTGTTACTCTGTATCGAGGACTCTATGTACTTTGTGCGGATTAAGATCCTCAAATTTTGGGATGTATTTGAAAAGGTCTTCGATACTATTTCTGTCAAAATTGAAGTTTAATCTCTTGCTTATGATGTTTGAATGATATATCCAATTACAACATACATAACTCAACATAGGGTAATGTCAAAGTAAGTAATACAAGTTTTGCAACTATGGTAGATTTATATTTCCCTGTTTAAATGTCAAATGTCTTCCATTAAATAGAAAGTCTACCATAACGATATTATTGAAACATATAAGTCCAGTAATTATTCTAGTAATTATTGAAACATATAAGTCGACCATTACATAGTCGAAGTTAATCTACCACAACGTCATAGTTATCTAGTACGAATTAAAAATCTACCATCACTAATATAACTTTACCACCAAGCAAACATCCGCCAATACAAAATAAATCTACTAAGTGCAAAATAAATCTACCGCCTCAATAAATAACCTTACCAAGTGAATAATAAATCTACTAAAATAACCAATAAATCTACCATCATTAAAAGTCAATGAACGGTAAAGTCAAACAACCACCATGGATTTCCCCAAGTAAGGATCGACGAAATTAAGTCTTCCATCACTACTTTTAAGTCTACAATTTTCTAAATAAATCTATCACTTCTCAACAAATCTACCGCGTTGTGACTACATTTTCGATAATGACAAGTCTACGAAATGCTCCAGCAGAAAACAAATCTACCATTCGTCGACCAAAAATAATAATTCTACCGTCAAACAAATCGCCTACGTGGCAAACAAAAAATAGTGACACAATCGTAAATATCGTTATTGTCTGTACCCAAATTAATTAAGTAATAAAAAAAATTTTGGGTCTTTCTAGCCATAAACCCATCTTTCCAAATTAGTATAGTTATCCTCCCATTATATTATATGTGAATACATTCTCATTATATAACAACAATTCAAAATTATAAACGGATAAAAAAATAAATCATAAGTATCTTTTTAATGAAAAGGAAGTAGAAGTAAAAGTCATATTGAATCTCTACGACTTTGATTTTCTGTAAAAACTTAGGGTTATATTTTTGGTATAAAAAATCCCAACCCACCTTTAATTAATCTTCTACTTGTACCTGCAACTTACTGACATCAGGCCCGTATAATTAAGGTGTTGTGTTCAGAAGATTTATCTCTTGTTCCGTTAGGTATCCAGATTTTACTGTGTATCGTCCATTCTTTGTAAAGTGCCAACCTATAAGAGCAGCTCCATCGGTTAGTATTTTAAATTGAATATCTTAACATATTAAATTAATATAATTTAATAGTATTATCAAACTTTAAATATTAAATGATTCAGTAAATAAAATAATAACACCTTGCCTTTTTTATTAGAGATCGGTTCTGAAGTATCTATAATGAGAGATCATCTCTCTCTCTTTCTATTTTTTTTACTATTATTTATCTCTCTCTCACATCCTTTATTATTATTTTCAATATTTTAAGGATTAGAAACTTTTGGTGAGAACTCCTCACATACGTTATCCATCTCTATATAGATAGATATTTGCAAATAACGAGAGATATATGTTCATTCTTTTTGTAGTGTGGCTTACAAAGTACGATATTAATGAGAAGACGAGGCCACCGAAGAACCCTAAAAGACCTCCGAAAATGTGATACAAACCGCTAGAAGACATATCAATGCTGCACAAACCCAAGAATGAATATCTCAGTTTTCCATTTCTCCAGAAAAAAAAAGTGAAAAAAATAAGCTAAATGAGAACTAACCAACGTATGAGCTACGTGCCACTAGACGCAGTGTTGTCGAAGGGATAAATTTAAGTGTTTTCACTATGACTCGATCGTGTCAAACACAGACATGGCGAAAACCTATCCTGAGGATCCATCAGTTGCATTGTAATCACATTCCAGAAAAGAAACAGAACAAGAAAAAAAACTAGACCTAATAACTTCTGATTACTCGGATAAAGACCATGAAATTAGCAGCAGCTATAAGCCAAGCAGGTTTCTCAAGGGAAATGACAACGTCGTCCTCAACAAGATCACCAAAAGCCCAGAACCGGACATAGCCACACAGAGGTAACAAACGATGACGATCAAGTAAGCGACGACGACTCCTTTCCACATTGGTTTCTTCGATGGGATTTCACGTGTTCAAGGAAGAGTTGCTTCGATCTCAAGAACCACACTGTGTCCTGCAAACGCAAACGTTATTGTTCCAATCCCGTTAAACGCGTCGAAAATCATTGCAGCCGTCGTGTCTACTCTGACTCCGTACTCCGATGGACGGTGCTCCGTTCCTTTCACTATTGACGCTACAGACGCTATCATTGAGTAACTGCAAACAAAATTCAAAGAGATCAAGACAAGAAAAAGAAAAAATAGAGGATTTTTGTTTTTGTTTCTGTGTTGGGGTTTGATGACAATACAAGAAAGACATGAGTGCAGCGAGAAGAGAGACGATCTTGATAGAGTTGAAATCAGGGGACTGAGAGAGGACGATCTGCAGCGCGGCGAATCCGAGGATGTAATAAATCTGACGTACATGATGGAGATGAGGGAAAAGAAGCTCGACGAATTTCTTAAGCGATTTGCCTCCCGTCACGTTGTAAACTATGTCGGAGGCCATCTGGACCAAAAGCTGTTGGGGCAAGACGATCCAGTAACCTACTCTTGGTCCGAACGCTTCTTGGCCTAGCTTGATCCAGTAACCTAGTCGAGGTCGATCTTTTGGCGGCTGATGATGATCCAACTCCAGGTGTACAATATTTCTTTTTTTCTATAAAATAATATAAGTTAAAAAGAAATCTATCTATATTTTAGAGAAAAAATAGAAAAATACATTTAAAATTATTTTAATAATTAATATATTATTCAAGGTTAAAAAACAATAAAGTAAAATAATTTCGATCAATTTTATATTTTTATCTGAAAATTTTAAAAATAGGACTTTACACATATTAATAATTTCATGTATATTTTTTCAACATATTAAAACGTTATTTCATAAATCATGTTTTTTATATGTTCTAATCCATTATATTTTGTATTAACACATATATCAAAGTTAAAAGTTAAGAATAGAAAACTCTTAATTTTTAATATAATAATAAATTATTAATATATTATTTTAACCTTAAACCATACACATATAAGTTTAGAATCTGATTGGTTTAAATATTACAGTTACGGAGAGTTTGTGCAAGCGAGTGATTGCATGCTATAAAAAACATTGACATAGAGAAGAGCGGAAAGCTACTAGAGAATTTTGTAAAATATAATTTCAAAATTTTTATAACAAATATTTATTATAATTTTTATTGAGAAACCATATATCATAAAATACTGAAAATAAAAATTTTGATTAATTATAAAATGGTAGAAACGGTTTTTGTAATTGTTGTTGTTACTTTTTTTTTTGTCAACAGCCTTTTTGTCCTAGAACGGCTCAGTAAGCCAAGCCGATGGAGTTGAGTTTACATAATTTAGATGATGAGGGCATGTGCGAGCACTTCGTGCTAGCTTATCCACTTTCATGTTCTGCGCGCGTGGAATATGAGCTATGGAGAAAGAAACAAATTCCTTCCTGCTTGTCTCGAACTCCTCCAAGTGTAAAGAGAACGCTGGCCACTTCGTCGGGTTAGACACCATCTTCACCAAGTCAGAGCAGTCTGTGAGGAAGGTCATCTCCAATCTCTTTGCATCCTGCATGCTGTGCATTGCCTATATCATAGCTTCTAGCTCTGAGTGTAGTGCTGACATACTACAGCGGATGTTCCTTGCACCCATTAAGGTGCTCACCACTCTGATTCCTTGACAGAACCATCGTAGTCCTGAATACTGGCTAGAGTGTTACCATGAGCCATCTGTTTGACAAGTTAAAATTCCCCTATAATCAACCGTTCCTGCTACCCTTAATTGTCTCATATCGAGTATATTCGTTTGTGCTTCATCCCAGACATTTGCTTCTGTTGTTGCCAGTCGTACCACCTTTCGTGGGTCCCGATCAATATTCAAGAAAATCTTGTCATTACGCATTTTCCAGATATACCAGACCAGCCACTGATATACTTTCATATCTACATGGTTTAGTAAATGCCAAAACAAATGTGCCATATTTGTGAAGAGGGCGTCCATGGTTTAACCATATGTTGGAGTTGGAATATGTGATAGTGCCCATACTTGTAGAATCGGCGGACATTCAAAAAGTGTATGATTTAACGTCTCGCGCTCAGCCCCCACAACGATTACATTGAGGGTCGCAATTGATACCTCTGTTCCAAAGACGGTATGTCACCGCCAGGCATCGCAAAATAGCTTGCCATAAGAAATGTTTCATTTTTGGTGGACATTTGACTGTCCACACCTGTGCTTGCAACTTACTGACATCAGGCCCGTATAATTGAGGTGTTGTGTTCAGAAGATTCAACTCTTGCTCTGTTAGGTACCCAGATTTTACTGTGTATCGTCCATTCTTTGTAAAGTGCCAACTCATAAGATCCAGTCTTATATGCCTAGAGATAGGCATTCCAATAATAAGAGAAACATCCTCCAGAACAATTAATTTTAGTAGTAATGGTATATTCCACGTTGAAGTTGAGGGATAAATCAGTTGATTGACTTATAGCTCAGGGTAGAGGTTATAGCCGTTGCATATTGCTGATCTCGGGCGTGAATCAGGAATCCAAGGATCATTCCATACACATATGGAATGACTGGAACCCATTCTTTTAATGAGCCCTTGATGTACCAGAGATCTAGCTGATGTGATACTTTTCGACCAATACGACGCCGAATACGAGCGTATTGGATCAAGCGGTGTACCATTCCAAAAATAACGTCCTTTAAAAAATTTTGCAAAAAGAGATTCCGGGTATTCTCTAAGTCTCCACATTTGCTTTGCAAGTAGGGCACTGTTAAAATCCTCGAAAACCCAGAAACCAAGACCCCCTTCCAATTTATGTTTACATAATTTATTCCAAGCTAGCCAGTGCATACCCTTGTCTTTCCATCGTTGCTCTACCAGAATTTTGCTACTGTATTGGTTAACTTGGTACTCAGCGCTTTTGGTAGCTTGAAACATGACATAGCATACGTTAGAATTGCCGTAGCCACCGATTTAATGAGGATCTCCTTGCCTCCTCCCGAGAGTAATCTGGACGTCCAACTGTTTACTCGTTTTTGTTGCCTTCTGAGAAGAAAATTAAAAATCTTCATCTTTACACCTCCCATACTTTTCGGTATCCCCAGATATGTACTCATTCCTCCAACATTTGTAATACCCAATGTGCTGTGAACCACTACCTTAGTATTTGGGTCCACTATATGTCCAAATTGTACCGATGATTTGTCAAAATTTATTTTTTGTCCTGAAGCTGCTTCTTAATCGTTGAGGAAATTAAGTAGAGCTCTAGATTCTTCTTGACTGGCTTTACAGAAAAAAAACTATCATCTGCGAAAAGCATATGAGAAACCGTTGGACTAGCCCGAGCAATCTTCATTCCTGTACGTATTTTGGCTGTTTCCGCCTTCTTCAAATTTGATATCAGGACTTTCGTACATAAAATAAAGAGGTATGGAGATAAAAGATCCCCCTGGCGTAGTCCTTGTTTAGTATTTACGTGTCCCCGAGGATTACCATTAATAATAACTTTATATTTGACGGACTCAACGCACCACATAAGCCACATGATCCATTTATTCTCAAACCCCATTTTCCTAAGTAAGTATTCAATAAAAGGTCATTCAATACACTCATACGCCTTACTCATATCCGGTTTTACTGCCATAAAATCCTTCTTACAAGACTTTTTTGTTCGAAGGTCATGAAACATTTCCTAGGCTATCAGAATATTATCCAAAATAAGTCAGCCTCACACAAAGGCTACCTGAGTCTCTGTAATCAACTTTGGTAGTAACCATTTTAACCGCTGGTATAATACCTTAGAGATAATCTTATAACCCACATTACATAAACTAATAGGTCGTAATTCCATCATCTTGGTAGGTCGATCCGTATTTGGGATAAGATAGATATTCGTTGTATTTAATCTTTTATCAAAGGAACCCGTAAGGAAAAAAATTAATTACTATTGTGACCATGTCACTTTGTATAATATCCCAAGATTTCTAAAAAAATAACTCAGTCATTCCATCCGGTCCCGAGGCCTTTTCCGGATGCAACATAAATAATGCGGTCTCTACTTTAACCTCTGTTACTGGTTTAACCAGTTGCATGTTTTCCGTTGCAGTGATTACCGATGTTATTTCTGAGCATGCATCCTCAAAACCGGTTGGTGAGGTTGATGTACACAACTCACTAAAATACTCCACAACAACTTTTTCCACCCTTTTTCCACTTCCATCCAAATGCCTTGTTTATCATGCAGGCCCACAATTCTATTAATCGTCTGCCTTTGCTTTGTGGTCTGATAAGGTTCAGGTTTTACCCAAATAAAACTACTGCAAGTGCAGCACTTGCAGTTATAGTATAAGGGGCTATCGAATCCCAAGGGAGTAAGTAAACTACACTAACAATTATAGATTCAGACAAGGCTAAGCAGTAGAAAATAAATGTAATGCAAAACAACTAAAACAATGAAAGCAAACAATTTTTGGTCGATCTAAGACTCAGAAAACTAAAAGCACTAAGTCAGGTCAATTCCAGGTTGAATCCGAGAGAGTTGAATGCATGCAATCAGGACTGAGTTAAAATCGTATTGAACATGAATCGCAAAGATATAACAAATCAATTCTCATTGCAGAAGTTATCTATGTCTAAATCACAGAGTTTCAAATCTCTTTGCAAACTCTAACAAACTAGACATGCAGTAATGATCAGGTTCAATTGCTCACAAAACTCCTAAGTCAAATCTCTTTGCACTAAGGCGATTTGCTCATCTAATACTAGTTCTTGTGATTAATAATGTTCTCACATATATTTAACAACCTAGGTATTTCGAATTCCAGATGATGTATCTAAGAAATCGGTTTGAAAGCAAGCATAGATGAAGAACGAAAAGATATTCCTAACAATTTTGCAATTCTACAAACTCTTAATCAACCCTTGAAAAGCCCTAACATAACTAGCAGATTACTCGGACATGATCATGGAAACACAAAACATAACTGAATAAAATTGCATTGAAGAGATAGAGTAAAAGTTAAAGGGGTTAAAAATCATCTCAAAAGAGTACAGGATATGTCTCCCCAAAAAGCTCTGAATAAATCTCTCTCTAAAGCTCTCTGAATTCTAAAATCTAAGATAAAAGCCGACAATGGCTGAAAACCTAATATACACAAGCTAAAACACGAGCTGGGGCCTTTTTGTAAGTACTGAAACTTCTGGGCCAAAACTGCAATTTGCTCTCAATCTTTTAACAATAGTCGCGACTCTTTCCCAGATACGGGTGACGAGCGTCACCTTTGAGTGGTGATGATCGTCACCAAAGCCAAAATCCACCTTCTGAGTTGCACACTTCGTGGCTGAATCTTGCAATGCTCCAAAAAGCTCCATAATCTCCAATTTTGCTCTAGACATGCTATAACCAGCAAAGACTCTACTAGGACTCTAAAAAGACCAAACAGACTCAATAAAAAGGACTTCTATCATGGTTAAAAACCATAAAA